TCTCTGTCTGTGCGAGACTACGACCCCCAGCACAGGGATGCCGTGAAACATTATAAGATCCGGACCCTGGACGGTGGAGGCTTCTACATCTCCCCACGGAGCACCTTCAACACCCTGCAGGAGCTGGTGGCCCACTACAAGAGTGAGTCCTGCCCAGGGCCACATCCCAACTGGGGTGGGCCTGGCTGTGGGGAGTCCTGGCTTCTCCTAAAGCTGGTGAGAAAGAAGGTGAAGTGGCATCCCAGGGTGCTCTGCTCACTTGGGAATGTTCCATGGTGGCAGCCCCCTGGAATGTTGGCCCCATCAGTTGAACAAGCAGAGAGGCCTCCGAGGGGAAGTCTCATGTCTCTGGCCAGCTCAGAGCTGTCTGCCCTCAGCTGACCGGGGACTCTGTTCCAGAAGGAAGTGATGGACTCTGCCAGAAGCTGACAGTCCCCTGCGTGTCCTCCAAGCCTCAGAAGCCGTGGGAGAAAGATGCCTGGGAGATCCCCCGGGAGTCTCTCAAGCTGGAGAAGAAACTTGGAGCTGGGCAGTTTGGGGAAGTCTGGATGGGTAAGAATCCAGAGCCAGAGGGAAGAGGGGAGGGAGGGAAGAGAGAAGCTTTTGCTTCCAGGAATCGCCTGAGGCCAAGTGGGACTGCCTGCCAAGAGGGTAGAAGGGGGTTTGAATAATAACCATAAAGGAGTCACCCCTCTGATAGCAAACCAAATTGTCTGCCAAGCAAACACTGATTTGCCTTTGAGACCAGGCCCACTGGTGTCCAGCTTCCTCCTGGCAAGCAAGCGTCTGGGATGAGGTATCCCCTCCCTCTTGAGGAGTTGGGCCAGTCTGCCAGTTGGGGGTTGATCTAGACAGGGGTCTCCTAGGATGAGGGAAATAAGAGTAGGGAAATTCAGCTTGCAGATTTCCAGGTGAGTCCAGAGCTGGCAACTGATTAACCAATGGTTCTGAGCGTCTGCCATCTGCACCGCCTTGTGGAAGGTATTGTGGGCCCAGAGGCACTGCACCCCTCTTCTCCTGCCTCCAGTAACTTGAGAACCACGTTGGGGAGGAAGCTTATCTTCCTTTAAGATTCTAGGTCTGTGTGACTGGAAAATAATTAAACTGACGCAAGACAGAATAACAAGAAAAAAAAAGCCTACATAAAAGCATGGAAAACAGACCTGTCAAGCCCTAGTCTGGGTGATAATTCTGTCTCTTACCTCCAGGACAGCTGCAGAGATGACTTATTTCTGTTTTTATGAAGATAGGTAAATGGGCAAAATATAATTCTTAGTTCTGCTGTTTTTCAATTGCCTTCAATTCAAAATAACCAGTGTGCCACTTTGGAACATTCTGGACACCCTGTGTTTGATTCCAGTGGCAACAATGGCTGCTGTGCTGAGTTGTGGGGTAGACCCAATGCTGGCCCAGTGCCTGTGCACCCCATTGTGTTAATACTCCACCATGTTTCAAGTGGGAATGAAGACAGCTTATAGAATTGCAGACAATTCATTCAGGTAAAATAAGTTTTAAATCCAAATATTTCAACTACATTTTCTGAGAGCCTGCTATGTGCCAGGCACTCACAGAATAAATATGGCAGAGAAAATATGGAGAGAAGGTAAGAGATCTGAATGATGAAGTAGATAAACAAAAAATCTACCAGGCTCTTGACGTACTACAGGAAGACCTCATGTCTGGTTTCGAGCTTCCTAGCAGCCCAGGCAAATTGGAAGCATGAACAATTATAAGATCTACACGATGGACATGATAAAGCAGGGGGAGGTGTGTGTGAGTGAGAACCTGATGTTTTGAGGTTCTTCGTTAATCACTATAATAGACCTTCCAGCTAGGAAGTTGTGACCTGACCTGCCAGCCAACATCTGTGTGAAGCTTAAGCTCACGACTCCCCTGCCTTCTCTAGACTGAGATGAGCCTTCCTAAGGAGGCAGCTCTTTAGCTCACTCTTCCAGGGCCATGTGGGGAGAGCAGCGGCTTCTGATGTCCTTTCCTGTTCCCTGTTCCTCTCCAGCCACCTATAACAAGCACACCAAGGTGGCCGTGAAAACGATGAAGCCAGGGAGCATGTCAGTGGAGGCCTTCCTGGCGGAGGCCAACCTGATGAAAACCCTGCAGCACGACAAGCTGGTAAAGCTGCACGCAGTGGTCACGGAGGAGCCCATCTACATCATCACGGAGTTCATGGCCAAAGGTGCTGTCCCTGGGGCTGGGGCACAGCCGTAGCTCACTCGGGTCGGTTGCAAACTCAGAGGTGCTGCTGATATGGGTCTTGTCCTCCACATGGCCAGAAGCTCTTCTGACAAGCACTCAGCGAGCTCTTGTAACTTACCCAGCTCCTCTAGTTTGTGGGGTGAAATCATGTGAAGGAGAAGGGGAGCCTGCAGGACTACAGGAGAGGGGCGTGGGGCCAGAACCCCGCAGGTGGGAGAGAAGCAGCTCTGAGCCTTAAAGGCCCGGGCCGCTGTCCCCACATCAGTCACCTTCTCCACAGGGGCCCTGGGAGAGGGTCAGCAAAGACTCCAGTGCCAGCTGCATCCCTACCCCACCCACCCCGGCCACAATCCAGAGTTCCCCAAGGGGCTTCTGGCCACATTTTGCCATCCTGCTCATTCCCTGCCTATCTTTCAATGAACAGAAACATCTCACATGGCCTCATGGAGTATGATTTGAAATCACAAAACGTTTTCATTTTCTAAATACACAATTGTGCCTTATAAATACAGGCTCAGAGGCTGTCTCGAACATCCAGTCTAGCAACTCTAAAGTTACTTTGAAAAAACCCAAATCTATTTCTCAAACACCAAGAGTAATAAGGAAACATTTTGATTTAACCCATTCCCACAAAAACCCTATGCCAACAGGAAGCCTGCTGGACTTTCTGAAAAGTGAAGAAGGCAGCAAGCAGCCCCTGCCCAAGCTCATTGACTTCTCAGCCCAGGTGAGAGTCAAATGGGGAGACTGGGAGGAGGGGAAAGGGATTCTGTTGTTTGTCCAACACATATTTATTGGCCACTTGCGATCCTCACGACAGTGGCTAATCTTTATTAACTACTCAGTGTAAAAGTGCAGTCTTTATATGAGTCTCACATGTGCTGGTTCATCAGTCCTCACATCAGTCAGCCTTATAGAGCCGATCTTTGTTATTTATTCTTTTTTTTTTTAAGATTTATTTACTTATGCATACAGAACTGAGGTACAGGCCAGAAGTGGGGGACGGTGAGAGGATTCATCAGAGCCAGAGTGGGGAGCAGAACAGGCAGATAGACGAAGTACACTGCTGAGGGGAGCAGCAGGCGGGTCAGGAGAGGTCTGCTGCACCATGTTGGTCACCTCCGGGGCAGGCGGGGATCGAACTTATGCTGAAGTGGCTTTAGCTTCTTAGTGCTGTGCTTTAACCTGCTGCACCACCAGGGAGGGCCCTATTATTTATTCTTATGTACACACCATTCAAAGCTTGGTGGCTTGAATGAACAATTTATTATTTCTTAGGATTCTGTAAGCTGACTGGGGTTGGTGGGTGGGCCTTCTGCTGCAGCTGGTGAAATTGAGTCACTCAGGTGGTGACTGCAGCTGAGAGCTTGCTGGGGCTAGAATGTGCTGGGTGGTGGCTCATCCTCTGGTGTCTCCCACTGTGGCCTCTCATGCTTTACCGCTTGGTCATAAGTGGGACCAAGCCCCAAAGTGCAAGCATTTACAAGGCCTCTGCTGGCTAATATCCCACAGGCCAAGGCAAGTCACCTGACCCGGCCCAGAGGCAGTGTAGGTGGGGACTACACTAGGTCTGACTCCCAGAAGTTGTGACCTGGGACCACAGACCACTGTCAGATTTTACAGAATAGGAATTTGAGGCATGAGGAAACAGGCCCAGCAAGGCTAGAGTAGCTTCTCTAAGTTACTGTGCTAGTTAGGGGGAGACACAAATGGAAAATATTGCTGTTCTCCTTCCCAGATGGGATGACAGATGATTAACAACTGAATCTGTTAGAGATTTGTGACCCAAATGGCCCTGACTCAGCATCAAAGAATGCAGTATCCAGTAAAGTAAATGACATACACAAGTCACAGAAACACTTAACATCCCATTTTCATTCTCAGCTTCCCTCTTCTGTATCTCCTCTGACTCCCAGCCTGAGTGCTTTTGCATCTATCCTCCCTCACGTTCTCCCCTGGAGAAGAGGGTGCATGGGAGTATAGAGCTAGGGCAGTTAGCCTGGTCCAGGCGCAATCAAGGAAGGCTCCCCAGAGGAAGTAGTCTCTAGGCTGAGCCCTGAGGATGGGCAGAAGTTAGCATATGAAGAGAATGGGTTTTCTAGATCAATTAAATCACTTGTGCCAGAGGGAGAAAACAAAAGAACTGTCTGTTCAGCTGGAGCGAGGGGCTAGTAAGGATGAAGGGGTTTGGTTAGGGAGCTCTGCCTGCCCTGGGCCTAGGGCTAGGCCTTCTGTAGATGCCAAAGGCAGTGCTCATTTGAGTATGCAAATCCTGGGGGTGGAAGGCCCCCCAGAGGTGCATGGAAATCTGTGGGCTCTAGGGAAACAATGGCCCACCCTGTTGCTAAGCTCAACCAGCAAACTGGCAGAAACTGCTGAGCTGAGACTCACACTGGAGCTATGGCCATTCTCCCCATTTCACAGATGGGAAAACGGAAACCGAGGGAGGGAGAGAGGGGCCAGTCCCTCTGTGTCCAGGAGCGGAGGCAGACTCAGGGTCTGGCAAGAAAGGAACCCACTTGGGGACCTGGCATCACCTCCATTCCTAGAGGGGCAGGTTGGCGCCGCGGGAGGGTGTCCCAGCTCCAGCAGCAACTGGTTGACGGCTTCAGCTCCACTCTGGCTCTCTGTCTCTTCTGTCATGAAGGCTGAAGGAATTAGACAGTGTCTGTAATTTTTAAGTTTGAGAACCATTTTTTGGTTGCTGTTGGTAAAGTCTTAACTGGTGGTCCAATGAACCTTATGTAGCAGCAGAATATTTTTCAGCAGGTCAAAACAGGGCTGCTCTGATTGAAGGGGGGCCATCTGCGACTCCTTTTACTAGCCACTTTCACCTTGAGGTCTCAGTTGAAGACTTCAGTTTGAAGAGCTGGGGCCTGAGATCTCCCAACAGGCCTTCCTGCTCTGAACCGATGATTCTCTGATACTCTCAGAAACAAACCGAAACCCAGTGCCCATTCTCCCTCCTTGTAGCCCACTTGACGGTCATGAATGCTCACCACTTCATGAACCTCCCAGTTTTTAGACCAACTCTGAGCCTAGTAAGCTTATCCCTTGGCGAGAGCTTGGGAAGCAAGCTTGGGTAAGCCGAGGGACTTAGGAGTCACACGGAGTTGTGGATTTGATGCCAGCTCTGCTGTGTGTTAGTGCTGAGCTAGCTGCAGTCCATTTTGAGGGTCACTTTTCCTCCATGGGAGCATTAATGACCATCCCTGAAGTGAGTGAATACTTATGCCAGACACTGTTCTAAGCCCTGATTCTAGGCTTAAAAGATTAATCCTCGCATGACCCCTTGGAGGGAGGGCCTTTTGTTCCCCTTTGTAGAGAAGAAAGGTGAGACCAGGGATGAAGTAGCTTGCTTGAGATCACAGCGCTGGGAGTCCCCCAGCCATTTTCCAGTACTGTGTAAGTAGGGTCCATCCTGCCGCCCCCTTGTACATTACATTCTGTGCAAGTCAGCGCACAAGCGTGTCTGCTGGTGAGTACTAGGAAATGGTAACCAGCAGCTTTAGTGCTTGCTCTCTGCCAAACAAAAAGCTACTTAAGTAAACAAATGCTATTTAAGCTTGTTAACTATCTCATACCTAATGAATAAGCTACAATGCTTCTATGAGCATAATAGCCAGCCCTTGTAAGTTTCCCACACTCCCCATGCCAAGACTTTCTGTCTCACTCCACCCCTGGTCTGCTACCCCAAACATGATCGTGAAGTCTCAAGTTTTTATTGGAAAATCTGGAGCGTGAAACCTCTGATCCAACAGTCAAGAGTGCCCTCTGCTGGCTAACTCCTGCGAGTGCAACACCCTAGGGCTTGAGCTGCTTGGGGGATCAGTTTGGTCTCTCCGGCCAAACCCCTACCTCCTCATCTAATCTCACCAGATTGCATTCAGTTGCAGTCCTCCAGTGCACTGGCATTTGGATGATGAGCAGTAGCTTGGGTAATGAGAGGGACCCTGGGATTGGAAGCCCACCTGGCATCAGTCTAACATTCAGAATTTTCCAGGTGGTGTGATCTAGAACAAGGGTCTCCCCTCCATAAAACAGAGGTTACGATAATGCCTGCCTCAGCAGCTCCAAGGTCAGTCTGTAAATGATAACACTGTGTTCCAGTGTCTGGGGGTTCTTCTTAAACCTCTTTTGCACAAACCCTTCTAAGTAAAGACCATCGTTAAGGAAATTACTTCCCTCCAGCAGAGCCTGCCCCATTATAAATACCGATCCTGTACAGTCAATTTATGATTCACTCAGTAGCCACAGTGACACCCCAGGTCCTGTCACAGCCCTGCTCACAGCCTTTTTCGGCTCATCGTGCTCAGTGTTCAATCCAGCTTACAAGCTTTCTGCACTTACAAGCTCCTTAATGATCAGCTGCCTCCCTCTCAGCCTCAGCAACCCGTGCTCTCCCTGTGAGGTGTCTGCTCAGCTACCGCGGTCTCCTGTGCCACATACCCCCAGTTCAGGCCGACCCCTGGGCCTTTGCATCTAGTATGCTGCCTGCCAGGATGCTTTCCTTGGCCATGCTCATTACATCATTGTGATCTTTGCTAAAAGGTGACCTCTTCAAAGCAGGTTTCCCCGGCCACCCAATCTAAAACAATCCTGTTACCTTGCTTTATCCTTTCTTTATGGCACTTATTACAGCTACAGAGATTTCACTTGACTTACCTACTGCCTGTTCAAGTAATATCTGGTATCTACAAGACTCTCAGTGGATACTTGTTGAATGAATGAATGAATTTTCCCTACCCGGGCTTGCAGATAAAGTTTTAGGGATGAAGATGGTATGAGAGAGCAGAGTAGGGCGTGAGTCTAGGTGGTCCCCAGAAAAGGAGAGGGGAGTAAATGAAGGAGGGCCTCTGAGTGAGACCCTTCTTGGGCTGGACCGGATCTGAGGCTGGGCGTGTCTTTGTTTTGGGTGAAGATTGCAGAAGGAATGGCCTTCATCGAGAGGAGGAACTACATCCACCGAGACCTCCGGGCTGCCAACATCTTGGTCTCCGGGTCCCTGGTGTGCAAGATTGCCGACTTCGGCCTGGCACGGATCATCGAGGACAATGAGTATACGGCACGGGAAGGTAGGAGGTGCACAGGGGGCCCTGGCGCCCACTTGGGCAGGTTGTGAGTGCTGAGCGTTATACTTGTGAAAGTGATTGGTAGAAGATAAAGGTCTGTCCCGGTAGAAGTTGTGTATTATTTAACTTGATGAAGTTCTGGATATCGTGGCCCGGCTTACAGATTCTCTCCTGGGGGCTCTGATCAGTAAGACTGAGTTATGCAAGCACATGAGAAGTTAAGTGTAAGAGCAACTCTGTGTACAAGGAAAAACTGGGAAGAGTCCAAAGGTCCACAAAGAGTGGACAGGTATGTAGATTATGGTATACTAACAGCCTAGAACATTATCTAGCAGTGGGAAATTACAACCCGATACTATGTGCAATGAGATGGAGGATTTCAGAGGCTTAGTGTCATAATGGAAGAAATCACACCCCCAAAAGGGTGGTTCCATTGCGCTAAGGTTCAGAAACAGGCAAACGTGTGTGATATTCGTAGCAGACAGTGTCCATGATGACAAACAGATAAACAGAAGGTGGCACGTCTGTCCTGTCAACTCATTCAGCCATAAGGAAGGAAGGGGGCACTGATGCGTGCCAGACATGGAGGAACTTTGAAGATGCCAGATGAAGGGAAAGCAGTGGGCTACAAAGACCACATGCTGGACGGCGAGTGGACCCTCGGATAGCAAGTGGACATCCGTTGCCCAGGGATGGAGGAGGGAGCTAGAGAGAAATGGACAGAGACTGCTGTGGGGCTTTGGGGAGGAGTGATGAAAATCTAAAATTCACAACTTGGTGAATACACTAAAAAGCATTGAATTATACACTTTAAAAGGGTTGAATTATATGGTCTGTGAATCTAGCTCAATACAAGTGTTAAAGAAAAAAATAGGCAAAACTCACTTCTGGAGGATTGGGGGCAGGGGGGCTTGTCAGATACTGACCTGTCCTGCCCTGAGGGGTGATTTCACAGGCACGTACATATAGAAAATGTACCATGTTTTATCTGAAGGATCTGTGCTCTTAATTTCATATTTGTTATGATGCAATAGTAAAGGTTCCAAGCTGAGGGTAAGCACTGGAAGACAGTAACAGAATATGTAATGTCTAAGCCAGGAGAGGATGGGCAGGAATAAAGAAAATACTTTCAATCCCAAAGAAGGATGGGCTTAGGGGACCCCACAGAGCATTTGAAAACTTGGCAGTGTTCTCAGTCATCAAGCAGGTCTCATCACACTCCAAAGAACGTGTGTCCTGGAGACCACACTCATCAACCCCAGTGGAAGTAAGAGAAATCGCTGATCAGAGCTAACTAAGCTCCTCCCAGAGCAAATGGGGGAGGAAGAGAGGGACAGACAGCCACTGAGTGAGGGACAGCTAGTGGTCAAGAGCCAAATGTCTACCCCCCTTACCAGGTGTCAGAGAGTGAGGTATCAATTTCAAGGCCCCCATGTCCTCCTGTCCCCATGAATCCGATTCTGTGGCCTCTAGGTTTTTGCTCTCGAGGATTTGAATGAGGTGGTGCTCAGCAGAGAGTGCCAGAGCTCCCAGTTTAGCCATCCGGTGTTTAGGATGGATGTTCCCTGCTTCTGTGGAGGCCAAATTAGGGGGAGACCCAGCTCTGCCGGGGGCAGGGGTCACCCCCGTGTGTTCCCTCACCCTCACAGAGATGGAGCCTGCTGCCTTCCAAGTTCTCCTGACCCCTTGTCCCACCCCACAGGGGCCAAGTTCCCCATCAAGTGGACTGCTCCAGAAGCCATCAACTTTGGTTCCTTCACCATCAAGTCAGACGTCTGGTCCTTTGGTATCCTGCTAATGGAGATTGTCACCTACGGCCGGATCCCTTACCCAGGTAGGCAAGGGACGTCAGCTCAGGACTGCTTCCAGGCCCCAGCCTGGCTCACTCCTGTTGTGAGTGTCCGTTTGGACTGAGTTCTTGATCCCCACCCCCCACCTCCCAGCCATCTGGAGTACCACACATCTCTGGTGACTGTCACTCATAGTATCCTATGCTGTTTCATTCACAGCAGTCATCACAGTTGATAACTGTACATTAGATATTTTCCCATCAGATAGCAACCATGTCTGCATTTTCCGTGGCTGAATCTTCACTGCCTACCTCTGCTTGGCATATCGTGGGTGCTTAGTAACTTTTTGTTGATGGAGGAATGTGTGTCTATTTCTGGATAAATCCTGCTGTCTATGGACAACATGCTGTATCCATAGACCACTCTGGTTTAGGAAATATATCCAACATGTTCATTGCCTGGGACTCAGAGTACTGTTGTTCTCTGTTTCTTTTCGGTTGTGATGTCTCCTGGGGTCATTGAACCAAAGCACTGGGGCGAAGGGGTAAGGTGGATATAAAGAGTCCCTGACATTTTATATAAACTGAAATTGAGTCCTAAGTGAGAAATTCACTTTTCTTCTCCTATCCCAGTGTCTTGACCTGTAAAGAAATGTAAGTAATGGTATCTACCTTGTAGGGGTGGTTGTGAAAATTAAAGTAAGGTGATGTAGATGTTGGGTTCATTTAACAGTATTTATTGAGTCCCTACTGTGTATTTAGAGCTGAAGATACAGTGAGAGAAAGACAGGTCCCTGCTTGTGAGGAGTTTGTGCTCCAGCCTGGAGGGACACGCCCTGAACAGACGCACATTCTCAGATGGAGATCAAGTTAAGAAGGGAATAAAGCGAAGGCATGGGAGGAGGGGGTGGTGTTGGGTTTCTGTAGATAGGAAGTACCTGTCAGAGCAGATCATATTCGAGCTGAAGGACAGCTGAGAAAGGGTCTGGAGAAAGGATTCCAAGCAGAAGACTGCTAGTGTAAGGCCTAAGAATGCCTGGAGAATGGAGAATAGCAAGGCAGTCAGGTAACTGGGGCCAGGAATGAGAGCAAGTGGCAGACGTTGAGACTGGTGGGGAGAGTGGGTCTATTCTAAGGGTACAGAGCCACTAGGGGCTCTGGACAAGGAAGTGGCATCATCCGATTCCATCTTTAAGTGACGCTTTGCTTGGTTAAGTGTGGAGCATGGATTTCAGGCAGGTAGGTGTGGCAGCTCTCACAGGCACAGGCAGAAATGGTGATAGAGATCAGTTGATGGGTGGATTATATATCTCAAAGGAAGAAAGGGTATGGTGGTGGACAGAAAAGAATCCACTATAACTCTTCTGATTTTCATTGGGCAACTGGTGGGTAATAGTCTGGGGATAAAAATTCAGGAGTTGTGCTTTAGCCTTGTTACATTCAAGGTGATTTGTAGGCATACAAGTAAAATGTTCAAGGAAGCCACTGAATATTTGAGTTCAAGGTTAGTAATATGAATCTGGGGATCATAAACATATAAATAATTGTTCAAAAGGATAATTAACATAAACATTACTTAAATGGTGATCCCACTCATAAGGTGACATCAACTCTGGTCACCTTCTGTCTTGAGGGTACACCAGTAAAAGTCAAGCATGGATTCTGGAACTCTGCATCCATTGGGTTGTGTTAAGCTGCAAGTAACAAAATGACAGACTAAGAACAGCTGAGACAACATGGAATAACCAGGAGCCTGGCATTGGTGCTTGGTTAATTAGCTCAGTTGCTCTCAGGACATTTCTGTAACTGTCTTCCTCATGTGGCAAGATGCTGCTGCTGCACCAACAATCACATTGTCACAGTGTCCAAAGGAAGGAGGAAGAGTGTGTCCCCATACTCCTTTCCTCGAAGTCTCCCATGGGACACCTCCTCAGCTCCTGAGGACAGAACTAGGCACAGTGAAGGGTGGGAAGGGAAATTGGACTTTCACAGCAGGAGGGACTCACCTCCTACAGGTTGGTGAGGCGTGAAGGCCACTGGGGAGGCTGCAGTGTCTGCCCCCAATAAGCTGCTCTCCCCAACTCCTCCCCTTTTAACTGCCTGGCTCCTTCTTAGGGATGTCAAACCCAGAGGTGATCCGGTCCCTGGAGCGTGGATACCGGATGCCCCGACCAGAGCACTGCCCCGAGGAGCTCTACAACATCATGACTCGCTGCTGGAAGAACCGCCCTGAGGAGCGGCCCACCTTTGAATATATCCAGAGTGTACTGGATGATTTCTACACAGCCACTGAGAGCCAGTACCAGCAGCAGCCATGATGGGCAAGACCAGGGCAGGGCCAGGCTCTAGGGCTGTGCCTGTGGCTGCAGCACTGGCTGCCAAGTCGCTGCTCGTCCTTCTCACTTTTCAACATCTGCCCTCATTCTAGCCACAGCCCTCCTCTGTCAAGTGGGCAGGATGGACTGGACAATCTCTTTTTGACTCTAGCAGTCTACAATCTGCTATTCTCAGGAGACCCCCTGAGTTGATATTTCTATTCCCTGGGACAGTTGTATTCTAGTTATATCTGTGGTTTGGATGGGATACTTTAAAAATAATGAAATAAATATTTAAATAAAAGGTACTAATGCTAACGTCTTCACTGACAGAATGACTTTTTTCTGTCCTGCCATTTCCTAAATATCTGTTTGCCTTTTTGCTGGACAATAAGACCTAAAGGGGAAAGGACCCTCCCAGAGGAGTGAGATTCAATGCTAGGAGTTTTTTAACTGCCAAAAAAGGTTACTGGCTGCATTATTTTTCTGTTGCTTTTGTAACAAATTGCCACAGACTTGTTGGCTTAAATTAGCACAAAATTGTTAGCTCAAAATAGCACAAAATTGTTAGCTCGCAGTTCCAGAGGTGAGAAGTCTGAACTGAGTTGGCAGGGCTACATGCCTTCTGGAAGGAGGGGGATGCATTCCCTTGCCTCTTCAGCTTCCAGAGACTGCTAGCTCTTTAAACTCTGCTTCCATCACCACATCTTCCTGACTGCCAGTTGCTTGCCTCCCTCTCTCCCTGTTTAGGACTACTGTAATTACGTTGGACTCACCAGGATAATCCAGACTGACCTTTCCATCTCAAGATTCTTAATCACATCTGCAAATTCCTTTTAACCACGTAAGGGAGTATCTTCACAAACTTCAGGAAAGATATAACACCAAAAGCATAAACCATGACCATTAAAATTTAAAATTCTGATCTGATAAGATACTGTTAAGAAAATGAATAGACAAGCTGTGATTAGGACAAAATATTTGCAAGGACAGATAGCCAATATATACAATGAACTCTTAAAATCCAACAGTAAGAAAACAACCTAATTTAAAACTGGGGGGAAGATCCAAGCAGAAGAAAGAGAGATTCAGGTATCAGATAAACATATGCAAAGATGCTCAACAGTGTGTGTCAATAGAGAATACAAATAAAACAATGAGTTACCACCGCACACCTATTAGAATGGTTAAAATCTAGAATCCCAACGACTCCAAATGCCGACAAGGATGAGCAGCCTTAAGGATTCCCATCCATTTCTGGTGTGAACACAAAATGGTGTCGCCACTTGGGAGGAGGACATTAGGCAGTTTCTTTAAAAACTATACACACTCTTGCCATACTGCCAATCATGCACTCCTTGGCATTTACTCAAGTGAGTTGAAAGCTTATGTCCATACAAACACCTACACACTCATATTTATCACCACTTTATTTATAATTGTCAAAATGTGAAAGCAAATTTCAGAAAGTGAATGGATAAACTGTGGTCCATCCATAGAATGGAGTTTTGTTCTTGATAAAAAGAAATGAGCTATCAAGATATGGAGGAACCTTAAAATCTTAACACCTTAAAAAACATACCTCTGGATAAAAGTAGTCAATCTGAAAAAGCTACATACTGTATGATTCAACTTACAGAGGCATTCTTGAAGAGGCAACACTAAACAGAACAAGATTAGTGGTAACTGGGGGTTTGACGGGGAGAAAGGGAGGGATACACAGATGGAGATTTTCAGGGCAATAGATACTTTCAATGGTGGGTATACATCTGTATGTATCTATCCAAACTCACAGAAAGAGGAAGTCCTAGTGTAAACTATGGGCTTAGGTTGATGATAACATGTCAGTGTAGGTTCATCAATTGCAACATCTATACCACACTAAAGCAACATGTTAATAATAGGAGAAGTGGGGACTGGGTGAGGAGGTATCTGAGACATTGCTACTCATTTTTCTATAAACTTGAAAGTGCTATTATATAAGCCTATGAAATGGAAAATGAAAAATGGGGACAAACATTGTGCCAGCTATGGTATGGAAAAGCTGCATGCATTCTTCCCTGGAAGGTGGCAAAGGGAAGATGCTCTGTGCTAGGAGGTTAATGACTTGCTCCCCTCTAATCCCTAGCTGTGACTGTGAGTTTGAATATAGAAAAACATTGTTTCATTTCCTCTTTGTGATTTAAAATAAAACTGCCTCCTTATCCCCCTACCCTCAATTTTGTCACAAATGCCCTGACATAAAACTGCACCAAGTTGCATTCCATTTGCACCCCTTCCTGTTGAGGGTTGGCAATGGCTGCTAGCTGTCCCCATATCCATGTTGCCCCTTCTAGAGAACTATGCTCTTTATCATGGGCATGTGACTACCCAGAGCGAAGGTTACACTTCCCACGCCGTCTGGCAGCCAAGTGTGGACATGTGATTAAGTTCCGATCAATTAGTTGAAAATGAAAGTACGGGATCCTTCCTTACTAGATGACTAATGTGGGGTCTTTGGACATGTTTTAGGCACAGCCACCATCAGCTAAAACAGATTTCCCAGGGCTCAGTAGGTGCCATAAATATCCCTTAAAGTGGGCTGAACTTTTACTTGCTTTTATTCGTATCACTGCATACTTAAGGGCTATTTTTCTAAAACTGCGAAGAACCTCAGCTTCCAGTGTCCCCAGTAGATCTAAGAGCTAAGGAATTAGTATCTTCTGGGATCAATTCTCAACTAATGACTTTGGGGAGTCAGTGTATAAATACCCCAGATCCCTTGCCCCTTGGGTGTGTATTTTACATTGTTTTCTAGAGTTTCCCCACAGGATCAAGCTTCTACAGTGCTAACTTACTTGACAAAATACCCTCTCCAAGTACAATTCTGACATGAATGTAGGTTGATAGTCTCATTGATATTCATGAATAAGATGAAAATAAAGAGAAATAATGAACACATATGGGAAGTTCACTCATTAATCCATAATATGAGCAACTTCCTTGATATGGACTTGGTAAGAGTTTAAAATACCGTCACAGTTTTGTGCTAATCACAATGTAACAACTACAGACATGGAATTAATCTGCATTACTGACATTTTTTCCCATTACTTTTAGTCTAAACCAGGGTTTGGCAAACTATGTCAAAGTTCATTTTGTTGGAATACAGCCAGCCTCCCTATCTGTAACTGTGTGTTTGTACTACTGAGGCAGAGTTGAATAATTGTGACACAATCACATTATCTACAAAGCTTACAATACTGTCTAGCCCTTTACAGAAAACCTCTGTGAACAGAACAAAAATGCAAACCCTGATTTGTAGTAGTTGCTGATTTTTGTTGTATAAATGTTCCCACCCTGGCCAATTTGAAAATACTAACCAAAATGCATTTGGGGGAACCCAAAAATAGGATAGATAAGTAAACTTCTAGATTGTAGATGTCACTGTTATGGGGGGGAGGCGATGGTTTCTTATTTGCAGTTGGATCAATTCTTAACTGATAAAGGTCTCTCCTAATTTTAACACAATGTATCTTTGAGTCCTCTTTTCAGGTACCAAAAACTAAAGCTTACGAAGATTGAGTGACTTGCTTCAAGTCTCAGGCACATAGGAAAGTCCATATTCAAAGACGTTTCTCTCCACTAATATACTTTTTCATTATAATTTTCTGTTCTTCATTCTATTTTTCTACTTTTCATTTATTCATTTAATAAATTGTGTTATATAGGACACCAACCATATGCACAGTAATATATACATAAGCATATAATAACAACTATTTATTGAACACATAATATATGAAATTAAGTCACTGAAACCTCATCATAAGCCTAGAACTAAAATATTATTACAGTAATCCTCTCCTAGTCTCACAAATAAGAATAAGGTAGAACGAAGTTAAATAAAGGCAGGATTCTATCCTCAGGATGATTGCTGTATATTGAAGAGGTTATAGGATAGTCAAGAAAAAAATTAAATATATCATCACAAGTTAATTTTTGCATTAGAATTGACATTAGAGCTCTGGTACTGAGCCCACTGTCCCAAATCAGACTTCAGGTAACCCTGGCAACGGGACTTTCTGCCACTAGTAAAAATGGCGCCCAGAGACTCCCCGTATTTACACACACCCTCTATTTCCCACAGTGCAATGGGATGAGTATGGGGAGGAGTTGTCTCTGCCAGGAGCTAATATGGCTGCCGTAGTTACACCATCCTCTCTATTCACCTAATCAGAGACATGACTGCCCAGACTAAAGGACTGGTTAAGAGCTAAGTCTCCTTTGTCCTTCCACTGTCCGCGACTGTAAGAGCGACTAAACCCAGGCACGATCTCGCGGAGTTAAACTCCGTAACCAGGAAATCTCCACTTCCGCTGACGTAATTACGGCGACACGTGGATCCAAGATGGCGGCGGTGATGGTGAGTGAAGGAGACTCCGAGAGCCGGAGCTGGAGCGGGCTCTTCGGGGTGTCCTAGGATCTTCCAGCGCCTCATAGCTGACCCAAGCCACCTCCGGGACCCTCAGCTCATGCTTGAGGGACATCCCTGACTGGGCTCGTCTCCCTCAAACTCCCTCTTCCCAGCCTTGGCCCCTCTTTTGGGCTTGTCAAGGCCCGGAGCTTTGAGAGAGGCACTCGTTCGGAGGAAAGATTTAGGCTACCGGTAGTTCCTAGTCCTGCTTTGGTTCCCGCCTCCTGTGATCCCCGTTTTCCAGTTTTCACTTCCCCGCCTGGATCCCTCTAATAGAACTCCCATTATTCCCACCCTCGCTCCTCCCCCTCACGTCCAGACCCTGTTCTTTTCGCCTCCCTGCTTCCCCATTTTCCTGACCAGTCCGCAGATGCAACCTCACCTCTAACCAGCGTCCCAACACAAACCCTCTTTCGGTTCCTTCCAGAAACTCTGTCCTCGCCTCCACCCGCAGCTGTTCGACAGAATGCGCGTATCGTGTCGTGTCGTTTCGGACCGCCGCTGCCCTGGAGCATGCTCTTCACCACTTTCCTCCCTCTTCCATTACCAGACCTTTCCCTAACCATTTCTCTTGTCTCTCCATCAACTCCCTGCTTCTCTTTCTTGGGGAACGGCTATCAAATTAGTTCCCAAACTTGACAGTGCAGTAAGGCTGGGGTGGGGGGAAGGGCGATGAGTTGTGGGGGGAGGAATGTTAAAAATGCAGTTTCCCGAGTCTCACTCCCAAAGATTCTAATTCCCTAGGGCTTGGCGATGACCAAGGATATGCACTTTTATAAGCATCTCTGCGGCCCTAGTTCATGCCTGAGGTACTCCCCTGACTTAGGTCTACTGTCCAGAACTGCCGCTCCTGGTCCTTTGGCTCTGTAGACTCAGACATATCAGGGCCGGAAGTTCTAGGAGAGGCAGAGTCCAGGGAGCCATCTCAGCAACCCATTCCACCAGTTCCAATTTCTGCTTTGGTCCCTGCCTTCTGTAACCCCATAATCCAGTGGTTATGATGGGGGTAGTTTGTGAACTCCTGAAAAGCACTATTTTAGTCCCTCCTGACTCCCTTACCTTACCTTACTTTCCTTAGATTTATTTATTTATGCATACAGAACTGAAGTACAGGCCGGAGGTGGGAGGGGAGAGGGACCGAGTGGGGAGCAGAACAGGCAGATGGACTGAAATGCACTGCTGAGGGGAGCAGCGGGCAGGACAGGAGAGGTCTGCTGTGCCACGTGGGTCGTCAGTTCCTGGCCCAGGATCGAACTCACGCTGCAGTAGTTTCATAGTACTGCGCTTTAACCCATTGGCCACCAGGGTGGGCCCCCTTCCCTTTCTTACAGTATCATACACAACTCGTTAGCGGTAAAGATTTCTTTGGTCTTCTTGTGTGTTATTTCCACAACAGAATAATGAGTGCAAGGAGGACAGAAAAGGAAGTGACATTTGACTTTAACAAAGGAAAATTCTTGTTATATTCTTTAGTGGTGGTTTTCTCCTAACTAGGTAGATCACTGGCTGATAACCAGCTCCCCTCCTCTGACAATCACCTGATAAATTAATCCTGTTTGTTAGTGAGTGATTTCTTATTTAGAACCTCAGAGGGCAGGTAAAAGATGTCACAGCCTGCCTGGTTTCTGTGGCCTCAGACTTCCAGTCTAAACCATGGATGGAGAAGATCCAGAATTAGTTTTTCAAAAAAATTTTTTTTTCTCTGAACCTTCTTTTTTTTCCCCCCAAAACAAAGGTGACATAAGAATTTAACAGGAAAAGTCACAACGTCTCTTGGGAAAAGTTCAGTGAAATGGCATTTGTAGAATTGCACTTGGAAATTCCTATCCTGTTCGGAGGTTTTTAAGCGGTAATAAGTTAGCAGTACATATTTCTGGTACACATTTATTTCATCAACAAATAGTTGAGCCCCTGCTTGATGCCAAGACCTAATTGTGCAGTAAAATGTCAAGGTCCTTATCATGTGGAGTATTTCTAGGCTGATGGGATAGAAAGTGAACAAATAAATAAATGAATGAATGTGCTAATGTCAGGTAGTGGTAATTCCTATAAAGGTCACGGTGAGGTGATGATAGTGATTGGGAATGATATTGCAATGATCCTGGATTAAGTGATCTGAAATCTCAGAGAAGGTGACTGGAGTTGAGAACTGACTGACAATATTCCAGACAGAGGAAATAGTAAGTGAAAAGGTCCAAGGTGAGAATGAGGCTGGTAATTTGTAGGAACATACGGAAGTCTGGAGAGACTGATGCATGGTAAAGGGTGGGGTTGGAAGAGAACAGTAGAAGGAAAAAAATCAGAGAGGCAGGAGCAGCTGTGTTTCCAGAAGCTTGTGCCTATAGTCAGGGTGGATCGTTATTACAGTTTGTAGTCTGTGGATTGGTTTTTGAAATAGACTGTGCTGTTAGGCTATTTTTCCTTCCCACCACCTCCAGAACAGAACGGTACAGTAGCTGGCTTGTTCTCCACCTGCAGAGCGGCCATGGAAAGGAGTTTGGATTTTATTCTAAACAGTGATTTTTGTCCTGTCACCTGGGGGTGTTGTACTGTGCTTACATGGTGAATACAGTTTAAAGTATGGACATGAGAAACTTCAGGTTTGGTACAAAGTGCAAAGGGGTGGAAGCTAGTTTATTACAGGAGGATATGTGTAATAGCAGAGTCGGGTCACAGGTAGACTGAGTGTGGTCTGTGTCAAGCACTTCATTCACGGAAGTCAAGCAGTCCCATACCCTGTCCACACAGGGTATTTCACATCCACTGGGGGCCGAGGCTTGTGGAACTGCTTTGGGGTACATGGGTTTCTGAGGAAACCAAAGAGGAACTGAGCTAGTGGATTCAGTGACCGTGGGAACGGGCTAGGTTTTTTGGGGTTTTTTTGTTGTTGTTGTTGTTTTGAAAGTTAGGGTTGTGGGTGCAAGTTTCAAGTGGTGTCTTAGCTATTTCCCTCCCTACCTTTCTTTAGTGAATGACTCTTCTTCCCTGAAGGCTGCCTCCTCCCAGGTCTGGGTTAGAACAATGAGTGTTCCCTGAACCTGCAAGGCAGAACTTTGCTCGCAGAAGAAGTTGATAGCCGGTGTCAAATCCTTCCAGTTTTCTTGCTTTCCTCCTGCGATGGATTTAGACAACTCTATAAAGTTACAAAATATGAGTTGATCTAGCTGGATCTGAAGTGAGAGTAGGTGTGTGTATCTTATGGAAATGTTGAGCACATGGAGTATACTCTTAAGAATATTATTTTGTTGAAACCAAGGAAATGTGCATTGAATGCATTAGTAGACATCTCAGCAATATAGACTTTCCATTTGAAGAATAAAGCTTTTCTTTCACGTTTATTGTTCTGCTGTTTTGGACTTTATTATCTTTTACCCTTTTTATTGCATGTTATTCATATACCATAAAATCCACCCTTGTGAATTATACAGTTCAGTAGTTGTTAATATATTCACAAGTTGTGCAGTCATCACAACTTCCAGAACATTTTCATCACCCTTCAAAGAAACCCATTAGTAATCACTTCCCACTCCACCCTCTACCCAGTTCCTGCCAGTCATTAATTTACTTTTTTTTTTTTAAGAACTGGGGTACAGATCAGAGGTGTGGGGATGGGGGTGAGAAGATTCACCAGAGACAGAGTGGGGAACAGACTGAAATACACTGCTGAGGGGAGCAGCCGGTGAGGCAGGAGAGGTCTGCTGGGCCATGCGGGTCAGCTCCCTGGCTGGGGATCGAAGTCGAGCTGCAGAGACTGTAGATAGCTTTATAGTGCCATGCCTAATCCCTTGCACCACTAAGGAGGGCCCTAATTACTTCTCTGTCTGTATGGATTTGATGTTCTAGATAATTCATATAAATGGAATCATACAATAGGTAGTATTTTGAATCTGGCTTTTTTTACATGGCCTAATGTTGTCAAAGTCCATCCATGTTGTTGTAACCTCATTCCTTTTTATGGCCAAATAATGTTTCATTCTGTGGGTAGACCACATTTATCCTTTCATCACTGGAATTGTTTCCGCTTTCAGTTGTTTTGAATATCAACATTAGTGTACAAGTTTTTAGGTGAGCACACCATTTTCAGTTTTTCTGAAATCCTATAACTAGGATTGGAATTATTGAGTCACATCACACTCTTGAAGTTCCATGGTTTTGATCCAGTCCAGAGGCCTGGGTGACCTCAGAGTTCTTTGAGCAGATAGCCCAGGACCTGTTTTTAGTGTTGGAGTCAGGATAGGAGAGTCTTTCACACACCAGGAAGGCTAGACTCTGCCCCAGCCGCTGTGTGAAGTTGCTGGTGAGCATCAGCCTGTTCAGGACGAAGCACTGGAGCAAGACTAGCAGCCTGAACTTAGTCCCAGCACTGCCATTGATCTGCTCTGTGGCTCTGGGCAAATTACTTTGCCTTTATTGGTCTGTTTCCACTTGTTTGAAATTATGATTTGGTTTTGACTTCTAAGCTCCAGGTTCATTTAAAGTGACCTTTGCTAATAAAATAAACAATATGCCTGTAAAGTCAGATTGATTTTGGTTTGTTTCTGTGGTCATAGTCTCTGATCTTTCCAAGCTGCTTTTGGTTATATTAGTTGTCTAATCTCTGCGTTGCCCCTTCGGGCACATTTTCTGAAGGAGCTGCTTGTGGAGCAGAGGTGTTGATCCCAGGTCTTGGTTCAAATGTGTCGTTCTGAAGAGTTTCTTTAAAGGCGTGCCCTTATCCCATCAGGACAGAGAGGAGGCAGAGACAGCATGATGCTGCCTCTTGATTTCTCTTTTACAACTTGGACAAAAGTTACCCTTTGATCCTAGCATTTAAGAAGCATGTCACAGAATGTTGTAGAAGGTTCAGTTTTGATCTCCGGGCACTGGCAGAAATGTGGGAAGGACCCAGGATGAGCAGGGCCATCTGGCTACAGATGAATGATGGGAGCCACGGATCATCCCTAAACCTG